TCTAGCCAAAATCCGCATCAAAGCTAGATTCTTCAATAACTCGCTCATTTGCGCCCATACCCCACGATGTCAAAATCTTGCTTGGCGATTTTAATGCCAAGGTGGGTAAGGAGGGGATCTTTGGCGCCACTGTCGGAAAATTCAGCCTCCACGACGAAACGTCCGGTAACGGACTGAGGCTGATTGACTTCGCCGCGGCCAGAAACATGGCAATATGCAGTGCTAGGTTCCAGCATAAGAACATCCACCAAGCTACATGGCTGGCATGTATCGAAAAACGAGAAACCAAATCGATCATATTGTGATAGACGGAAGGCATGCTTCGAGCGTTTTGGACGTATGTACGTACACGCCGAGGGCCAAACATCGACTCTGTGCAGCAAAAAATGTGCGCCCAACAATGCAAGGAAAGCTTAACGTCAAAAAGCTGCAAACACAACAGATGGCCAATGACCGCTGCACCAATTTCTTCCAAACTTGGCACAGTTGTGTTAGCCTTGGTACAACATACTAAACGGCTGATATTTTTTAAAATCGGACAATAACCACGCCCACATCCCATATAACGGTATTTTAAAGAAACACGAAATCTTCGATAAATCGATAAATACAGAAGCTAATTTATTCAAAATTGATGCTTGCAATAATTCTTTAGCAAAGAAAACGTTTATGCTAAAAATTGGAAAATGGGCGAGAACCGCCCACTTATGACCAGGTGTGTATATCTCGGTAACAGTTCGATCAATACGTACCAAACTTGCTGCGATTATTTCGCTTACGACACAAAACAAAAACGTTAATAATAAAATTATAGTTTATAAGACTAAAACCTCCCTATTATAATTGCCATTCGTACTGTCATCAGGTATCTAACTTGAGAATAGAAATCGCTGCATCTTTTAGGCGCATCAATATTACATAGTTACATCCCGAGCTAATAAAAGGAAGGTAAGAAGGGAAAAATACTGAAATTGGGCTAATTTACTCAAAATTGATACTAACTACATTACCTTGAAAAGAAGTAACATTATTATAGAATTTTGAAAAGTGGGCGTGATACCGCCCATATCTAACTATTTAAGTTTATCNGGCGCATCAATATTACATAGTTACATCCCGAGCTAATAAAATGAAGGTAAGAAGGGAAAAAGACTGAAATCGGGCTAGTTTACTCAAAATTGATACTAACTACATTACCTTGAAAAGAAGTAGCATTATTATAGAATTTTGGAAAGTGGGCGTGATACCGCCCATATCTAACTATATAAGTTTATCTCATTAAGTATAACTGAACATACTATCGAAATTGTTAGAAATAGGGGTAAAAACACTCTTCTATCAGAAACGGTAGTTTTCAGCATGGCTAAAAACTATATTTCATACTTGCGCCGGGTATTTAATGTTCAGCTCCAACCGAACTTAAACTTTTTTACATGTTTATTTTGAAATCAAAAAAATATTTTTACGTCGCTCAAAGCGCTTAAAGTTTTCCATGTATTTTATGTGGGGGAAAAAATAACTTTTCGTAGAAATGGTATGGAATTCTTGAAAATCAATATTTTTCGTTCGGAAAACTCTAAAAATTCCGACTTCACTTTTTCTCATGCATTTTTGAACCACCCTATTGTAAATATATACGTTAAAACGCAGAAATGTTCTTATGCCATATATAATAAAATACGTTACGTATGTATATAAATAGTACGCTCCTTCAGTGAAAATGTTTCCTTGACCTGTATTTGTTATGGTTTATGCAATTCCGCTTTTGTATGTATTATAACAGAGCATCAACTAAATTTTCCTTTGCAATTGAACGAGACTATAAATGTAAATATTATTTAAAACAAGCAATTTTTAAGCAAAAAAACAAAACCGACTTCAATTCTCTTATACAAAGTTCAGATTATCATTAATTTCTTCATGATCTAATGAACGGTNAAAATAAAAAAAAAAAAAAAAAAAAAAGAATTATATAAATCGGTTAACGTGGTCCAAAGTTATGCGATAAGATACATACAAAAAATATTCCGCAGAATTGGTAACCTTTGCTTTTTGTGAAGTCGGTTAAAACAGGAGAATATGCGTATCCCTTTGGAAAGAATTAAAACTTTTTTGGCTAAGTGTCCCCGTTTGAGGCCCAGAAATTATGGCAGCCCTAGTCTAGTGAATCACTTCACGAAAAGTACATATCGCACGTTTAATAATATAGAGATGTAACTCAAAATTTACGTTTTTGGAGATTTCATTATCCAATTAACAAGCTTGATAAGAAGAATACAGTGAAACCCGCTTAAGTACCTAACCCGCTTGAGTAACCAACATTTTAGGACACCGTGAATTTTTTCATGTAATCTGAAGAAAATCCCTCTCTTAAGTGCCTCGCCGCTTATTTACCCAACCCGCCTAAGTATCTAAATTTTTCGTTCCCCATTTACCATTCTACTTATAATTTTCCCGTTTTAAGTGCTCTTTTAAAATTTCTTAAAATATTTACATATTTTGAAGTTCAGGGGCAGCGCTACACAATCGATATTAATTACCATCGTACATGCAAGTTTCAAGGGGCTAAAAATTACCGTTGATTTTTTAGAATTTTTGTCGCATTTGCTTCCATATAACGAACAACCACAATATTTTATGTGAAGAAAACCACAGCACCTTCTCAAAAGAAAACTAAAATTCTAAAAAATCAAAGGTAATTTTTTGCCACTTGCAACTTGTTACACTAAAATTGAAAGGGGTCACTTTTGAGAAAAAAGATGGAAGTTTTGATGAAAATTTCATGAAGACTACAAAATTTTAAGCTTAATACGTAGTTGATTTCCACCAACCCTTAACTGCAGGTTATGCCGTTTAAAAAACGGAGATTACAACTCGAGGGGGGTGATTCGATCTATTAAGTAGAAGCAAACGAAAGCAAAACTTAAAAAACAACCTTTCCGATCACTCCATGTTGGAATTATTTGAACTTTTCTGAGCACTTAACTGGAGTTAAGCCTTTGGTGGAAATAAGCTATAAGCTTATATGGTACTTTTAGGGAATGAACTGTATTTTAATTATCAAATCTTAAAAATTAATAAACATAAGTGGCAAAAAGTATCATTTTGAATTTGGTCCAAACTGTATTTTTGCACGTATACTTCATTAAATGTTCATTTTTTATTCAGGGATTTATTTAGGGAAGTAATTATGGTTCTCTTAAGTACCCAACGCGCCTAAGTACCTCAAAAGGCTGACATTTTTCGTCAGGTACTTAAGCGGGTTTTACTGTATGTTGAGTCTAACAGATAACCAAATTTCCCAAATATGGCGAAGATATGTGTATTTCCATCCGTATTTTTGTATACCACAAAATTGAAATTTTAAAATACTTTGCTATATTATTAAACGTGCGATATGTACGTATGTATGTATGTACAATAGTTAGTTAGTTCGTAGTTTAAATAATTCCGCCACTTCTAAACTTAACAGTTTACAGTGGTGTGGGGATTTTCTAACTCATCACTTCATCACTAATACAGACTCAGACACCACCGGTCAACTTCAAATATTAGGCGATTTTAAATTTATTAAGATAACATACAAGCTAGTTAGTTGATTTAAAAATTATCTCATTCACTTAAGTAACAAATTAAAATAATTATGGCGTCTTTGGCGTTCTTTTTCTAGGTATTAAAATATTTATCATTTATTAATGACCAGCGACATAAGCGATAATGCTGA